GGGTGCTTAGGGCCATCTTGAGCGGGGATATGAAAACGGTGTACGGAGGAAAAGAATGAACCACGAGTTGACCTAGATCTATGGCGAACCCAGTATCTAGAAAGACCCTTTTTTTTATACGGGGGGGAATCTGCTCACAGACACCTGAGAAGGAACTCAGGGTGTGGGGATGGTAGAATTTCACTCCCGACCCACTAAACCTTACCCTGTGCGCTTGGCCCTTGACCTCCCCGGTACCGCCCGAAGGCATTACTTCGTGGGAGGGGCCGCTGTAGCGCTACTCTAACGATCTAGTCGGGCAGTAGGCAACTGCTGCTCGGCTCGCCACTGTCGTTGTAATACCGAAACTATGTGGGTGACCGCAGTCACCACCGCGCTCCAGTTCTCGGTGGTACCACACATCCTAGGAACGATGTTATCCGGACTGGTATCCACTCCGCATATCGCTAGCATAGCGCTCGATACTGGCTCGAAACGTGGACAGGTGAACACAACGTGTTCGGCGGTCTCCTCGACACCAGCACACGTGGGGCAGAAGGGAGTACTTGCATGTCCGAACCTATACAGGTAGCTCCTAAAGCAGCCATGGCCTGACAGGAACTGTGTCAGGTGGAAGTTGACTTCCCCATGGCGCCTGTTGACCCAGCTTGATACGGAACCCTAATAAAAAATAACCATAAACGAACGATAACCCAAATCATTGAACTATTCCACAAATGGTTTGGATGATACCCAGAACACGTCGTTAAGCAAATTAACCATACAATTTTTATTAGGGAAGGTATCAAGCGGTAAGTCCACCTCCCCTTTGTGGAGTTTTCCCACTCCGATTGCCATCTCGCGGTCGACACAACTCGCGCGTTGTTGCGCACCCCTCGAACGGTCCTCACGTCATAGCACACCACATCCTCCTTAATGATAAGGCTGATTGGCATCATTCCTGCTATGACACAGACGGCCTCTCTCGAGATAGTGCGGTATGCACTGGCCACCCTCAAGCACATTAGCCTGTGTGTGCTCTGTAATTTCTGCCTGTGGCAGTCAATATCCAGTACCGCAGTACTACGACCCCAGCAAGGAGCCGCTTACTGGCATTCACTGCCGAGCTGTTTGACATTTTTTTTTTTTTTTTTTTTTTTTTGTTTTAGTACGTTTATTTGTTGTTGATTGTTTCATTAAAATTACTTACATAATTCTTTAAACCTCGACTTCAAAATTAAATTTCAGTGCATCAATATCTATCCTACCATTACAATTATCAATAAAGGTGATATAAATAAAAAGAATCTTCAGTATCAGTGTTCTTCTATTCACTGGCAGTCTCTCCAGTGAGGGCCAGAGGAGATTATCGAAATGGAGAGAGCGTCGACTGCCAGTCACCACCAGCAGCTTTTGTTGAAGTAGATCGTATGCAGCCTGTACTCTAGGGCAGCCGAAAAACTTGTGTTGAATTGTTTCAACCATCACATTACAAAAAGTACATTGTTCTCCATCCGTTCACCTCATTACATTCATCAGCCGACGATGCGAGATTTTTTGGTTAACCCAAAAGTACAACACACTGCGCTGCAAAGGTAATAAATCACGCACGGCTATATTCTTCCATACACGGGTCCAGTTGATTGTAGGGTTTGTTGTTTCCACTTTTGGTCTGTCTGTACGATCTATGAAGAATCGATGGATGAGATCGGCGGAAGGGTGTTGTTGGATTTGGAAGGGGAAATTTTGGACATTATTAAGGATTAGCTTTAAGCATGGAAGGTCTGAAATGGAATTTGCTTAGGGAGGATTTATCTGGGTTAGGTAGGAGCTATAGTAAGGAAGGGATTCGATCTCGTGTAAGTGGCGGTTTATTAACAACGCCTTACACTTCATCGCTGGTAGATGCAGATTAAGCCCGCCGTTTTCTCTACTGCGTGCTAGCTGCTGCATCGGAATGGTCGCACATGCTCCACGGAAAAGGTAATTCCGCATTGTGGCTGTCAGTTTTGCCACGTGGACTGCTTTTGGGTGAAGATTTGCAGCTATATACCATATTTTTGATGATAAGAAGGTGTTGAGCAGCGTTACCTTTTGATGCTGCGCAGTGAGTTTAGCCACACTTGCCGGGCAAAGTTAGTCACGAGCTTGTCCCAGTTTAGTGTGACCATCAATCGCACCGAGTTGGCGAAGATCACTCCAAGATTTTTGATGGTATTTTCTGTTCGAAGCCACGGTACCGTCAAAGGGCTGTTAATGAGGCCAACGTCGATTGCCGTTGTTTTATCTTCATTCAACAGTGCTCCTGCTACTTGCTCAAATCGCCTGAACAAATCTTTCATCGCGTCGAGTTTACCGACGCTGGTGACGATGGCACTGATGTCATCTGCGTAAGCGACGATTAGATCTGCTCCACACACTTGTTCTAACCGCCGTAAAAGTGGGTGCAGATAGAGAACAAAAAGATGCATTGAGAGAGGGTCTCCTTGGCGAACCGAACGTTGGATCGGAAATGGTGCAGAGAGGTGCCCATTGATAATGTCCCCACAGCCATAGACGCTCTCTTGCAGGCGTACTCGACGTGGCAGCCGAAGCTGAGCTTATCATCGAGCATAACCCCCAAGAGATTCAGGGAGCGCACAGACCTAATTGTGCTTCCGCCGACTGTCAACGTCGCATGTACTGTACTGACATGTGATTGTTGACTACGACCACTTCCGTCTTGTGATGGGCGAGCTCCAGTTTCCTGGTTCTCATCCATTCCTCCACAAGCCTGACGCAGTGAGCCGCAGACTACCAGCGTGACATCGTCGGCAAAACTTACAATTTTCACGCCTACCGGGAATTTTATCCTCAATAGTCCATCGTACATGACGTTCCATAACACCGGGCCCAGGATGGCGCCTTGTGGCACTCCTGCGGTGACTCTAACGCATTTTTCGCCATCTTCTGTGTCGTACGTCAACACACGATTCTGGAAGTAGCTTTCCAGAATCTTATACAGCCCTCCGGGAATTTGGAGCTGGTGTAGCGAGCGGGCTATCGCCCCACAGCACGCGCTGTTGAACGCGTTCTTCCCATCTAAGGTTAGCACCGCGCAGTAACGAATGCCCCTTCGTTTCCGATGGACCACCTCTGCCGTTTGGATGACGTCGCGGATGGCATCCACCGTGGATCTGCCCTTACGGAACCCATACTGGCTGCTTGACAGGCCGTCTACACCTTCGGTGTAGGCCGACAATCTGTTGAGGATGACCCTCTCAAGCAGTTTCCCAGTGGTGTCCAGCAAACAGATGGGTCTGTATGCTGACGGGTCCCCAGGGGGTTTTCCTGGCTTCGGGAGCAGCACCAGCTTCTGCCGCTTCCACGCATCTGGGAAGATGCCTACGTCCGGACAGGTCTGAAAAACAGAACGGAACATGTCTGGATTTTCCGCAACGGCTGCCCTCAGAGCCACAACCGGGATCCCATCTGGGCCCAGGGCCTTGCCCACCACCAGCGACTTGGCAATACTGCCAAGTTCACCGTTCGTCACTCTAGACACTTCTCCCTGATCCGCGGCCAGGAGTCTACGTCCCTACGCGGGAACAGGAACCCAACGATCGGAGCCAGTACCGCTAGTGATCTCTCCGGGGGTGCCGTCACGCCGCGGGTCTTTGCCATGACCACTTTGTAGGCATCCCCCCATGGGTTCGTGTTGGCGCTTTGGCATAGGCTGTCAAAGCACACGCGCTTGCGTCTGGCGATCTCTTTATTGAGGGCTGCCTTAGCCGCTCGAAGAGCGACACGGCGTTCCTCCCGAGATTCAGTTCCCGGATCGCCGTGACTATCTCGGTCGCCTCCGTCACTTCGTCCAGGTCCTTGACCTGGATGGTGATCGTCGAGCCTAGCGACTTCACCTGCACCCCATTACCAACGACCTCCTTTGACAGTTTCTGGTAGGTTGGTCCCTGGTCATTAGCACCACGCTTGAGCACCAGGAGCAGCTCGCCTGTATGAGTGCGCCTGATGCTCCTCACGTTGCTGCCCATCCCCGCAAGACGCTCGTCCGTTCTCATTTTCTTCAAGACTTCCGCGTATTTCGACGCTTCCGTCTTGAAGATGACCCTAAGGGACGAAGGCTCTTAGGAAAGACCCTAAGGGACGCTAAATGATGGAAAAATTAATCCCCCTTCCCCCTTTCGTGAAGTTTTTTTTTCCTATTCCTAATGCATTGCTTGTCACAACAACATAAACCTCCCCTTAGAGCTTAACATAATATGTGCATCACCCCTAAGGCTGGAAGGGAAAAACGGGCGGGTCACGTTGTAAGAGCGAAGATGTGAACACGAATTGTAAGGTCTGTGATAAGCAACGAATAAAAAGATATTATTATTATTTGGATATCGAAAACTTCAGTTCAGTTTACAACCAGCATCATTAGTTTATCATGTTTTAATAAACTTCTTTCACGTTTGTCATCTAAATGTCCATGCACATACAAACTGCAAACAATATGCACGCAGAAGTATAAGTGCAAGAAACCGATCGTTTTTGCACTTATTCATCAGTGCGAGGTTATAAACAGCACTGTAAGTTTATATTTCAAATATCTCTGCAGATAAATCGTTAAACGATTAGTTTTTCCTAATAGTTCACTTGACATGTACATTTTGAAGCCCAATAATTGCAATATGGAAGCACAGCCACCGAAAAGAAATACGAAGAATAATTTAAGCATAATAAACTGATCTTAATAAAAAAATATATATATATAAAAATGTGCCAATTATGTGCCAGATACTGCTGTGGTAAAAATCCAATTGAAATCCAATTATCTAAAAAAAAAACTCGATTTCCATTGCTGTGTGTCGTCTGTACGGCTTGCGGGATTGAAAGATCCCTGAACAAGCTATACAAGGTGCTTTGTAAATCAGTATGCTCTTGTAATAAATTAGGAGATGTTTAGCCAAATTAAACAGAGCATAACATTAACAGAAATGGTGATGGCTTTCTGTCTGATTTTCTTGAAAGCAATGAACTACAGCTTGGATTTTTTAATAGCAGCACTGGCGGCTAATTGTCAGGATGGATCAATTATTTCCGGTGGCTCATTAGCAGCAGTACGATTGGCCGCGATGGCATTACTCTGCTCGTAGCGGATGTTCATTGTATTGGCATTGCCTGGTTCCAGTACGTAACCGATCGATTTGTAGAATGGGATAAGCTTATCCTTGCAGTCCAATGACATTTTGTAGCATCCGAGTCGTTGCGCGAGTAGTGACACGGTGACCACAATCCTGTGAATTAAAAAAAAATCGGTATTAAAGACACGTTTTGAGTACTTCGATTGATGATACCTACAATTTACCGAGTTGCTTGCCACGATACGTGTCATCCACGACAACATCTTCCAATCGTCCACGAACGGAACATCCGTGAATGAATTTGTGCTCGAGCACTAGTGTTGCGCTGCCGATGATTTTATCGTAGCGAGTGTCCACTATTACCGTAACATAGTAATCTCCACTTGCACGCATTTGAGCAAATCGGTCTGAAGAAAAAAGTCATTCAGAAATATAAATTAGATTGTTAGCTAAGCTTACACGCAGAAAAAAATATTTTAAACGTAATAATATTTGACGTAAATGCAATAAGAATTTCATTTTGTTTTGGCTGCAAAAAGAAATCATTATTGTTTCAACAATCCAGTATTGTTGTCCCTTAAAACCCATAGATTGTTAAATCAAAAAGAAAATCTTTTCGAATTTACAAGAGCTTTCATGGTTTTGACGTAAGCTGTCAAATTTGGCAGCTGGGTCAATAAGAAAAATATGTTTGTTTTTAAAAGAGATTTCTTGTTGATTCAATCAAATTTATTTTATGAAGGCTAACAATTCACGCAGTAGAAATAACAATATGTTTATTGATTCAAAAATAATGTCGATTTTTTTTTGTTTTGTTTTCTTTTTGCAACAAACAGAATTGCAATTGAATTTCTGAGGCATAAAATCACTGATCACGCCTTCCTTTGGAAGGGAAGTAAAGCCGTTGGTCACCGGTTCATGAGTTGATGGGTCGATATGTAGGGTCCAGGTGTGGGAGCTGCCTTCCTGGCGTCGGGAGCATTGGTACTCAGTACGAAAAACAAGATCGACGGAAAAAAATCAAGGAAAAAAAAACTTAAAATTGATTATATTTAGCAATTGCAGCTCGAACTGCAACTTACTTGCTTACCTCAAGTCTCAAGATTTACGGAAATCTCGTACTTATTTCCCGAAATTCACAATTTAAAACAATACTTAATCAAATGAGAAAATTTTTGGTATTTACATTTTTGTCCGGGTAGTAATTTTTGTATTCATGGCCCGGGGAATGGACACAGCAAATAAATACTAAATTAAAATTAATTATTGTTGGCTTAATAATAGAATATTGTTATTTTTACAATAGTTGCAATTGAAAAGTGGCTTATTAAAACAAAAAGAATCTTATTTTCAATTTATTTGAATTTTTATCGAAACAATAAAATGCAATATAATTTCAACCGGAATTGTTTGTTTAAATACAACTAAAGTTTTGTTTGGTTCAATGCAAACAATTTTCTGTCCGTGTAGCTTAGGTAAAATTTAAGATCGGTCGCCTACGTGGTTGGAATCATATTTTTGTCTAACATTGGCGATGTTTCTATTCGATCATTCGATATTGAGATCTATTCTGAGCCACAAGTGAGGTTAGTTGACTCGCTAAATATCATTAGTTAAGTATACTGTATTTAAAAGACAACACTATGTTGGGACGAAAGTCATTGGTGCAAATGGGATATTCAAACGAGCTCAAAATTTCGTTGAGCTTGAAAAAAGAATTGAGAATCTAGGGAAATACATTCAAAATCTCTCACATGGATAAAAAAAATGAATTAAAGCAATAAAAAAATATGTAAGTTATTTTGTAATAAATATAAATTGAACATCTTAAAAAAGGCTTAAGATAAATTGTGGGAGTTGCAATTTGCAAAATAGTTCTAATAATAAAGAGTTTTTATCTAATTAATTAATAAATTTAAAAATCATTGTTCAAAAAGTTCCAGGAAGATGAAGTTCTTCTGACATTTTTGTTTAACGTGATTTTTGTTTTGCCTCTAGTAGTTTTGATCGTGTGGTTTCTAATTGTAACCGTATTTAATGCAACTTGTTTAAAAAAATCTTTAAAAATCTATGAACCATATGTACGTTGACGATATGCAAAAGAAACAGGATTGACGCGAAAAATAGTGCATCAAATTTAGGCTACTATGGCATAAGTGCAAGATACAGTGTTGCCCTGAAAGCAGTCGATTAATCATATAATAAGATGTAATATAATATATAATTAAGAAATTAATTCGTAAGGGTTTGCTACGCCCTTGGCAAGCCATATGAAATCATATGAAAAAAACGAAAACATCGTGGAATAATGGAACAAGTTCTAGATCACTTAGTGCGAAAGGAGGATGTAAGGAGGTCGAGGAACGAAAGTGCCACGTTATTTGGAATAACGTGATCGTCAGACCAGGACCAGATGAACTGCAGGCGTTCGTGCTTCTCTGTAAAACGTTCACAGTATACAGAGTAGCATGTTCGCCGTCTAACAAGCTATTCTTTGACTTTTTTATTCAGTTTGTTTTAAAAATGAACAAATGGGCACTACCGGCAAAAAAATTATCAACACTTCCTGTGATGTACTTTTATGGTTATGGTTTATGGCTTTTAATAAATGTACAGAATAATAATCCTTTTGCAGTGTTTCTTATTTTGCAACTTCTTTTCACAATGTAATATTTTGTTCTTCTTTTTCTTTAACCCAAGCAATCAAAATAAAAAAATGCCGAGATTCAGTATATTTTTGGCAAAAGTATATACCATCGTGATTTTTTCTCTCTCCGGAAAAAATCAAAGCTGTAACTTTTCAGGATGACCATCAGCATTTCTCAATCACATTAGATACCTGTAAACATAAGTTTTACCGTGAGAAATTAAAACAAAAATTTTAAGAATTAATGTTTAAATAGGTAATGCACCATTTCAATGCAAAATTAGAAGATAGTATACATTTAGGCGTTTTGTTACATTGATTGGATGCTTAAGTCTTCAGTATCACTTAATCTGACAAAATGTTAGTTTTGAATGAATTTACGACATTCTAAGTGCTCAACCATCTTTATGTGTCCATCCTACCATGGGTAAGAGGGATTTATTATTATTATATTTAAAACCTCACCATAACGCAGATTCCCATTAGAAATAGATTGAACTAATTACTCTGATTGCCATAAAAACATTTCTGCAAAATTGGTTTTGTTGCCTTATTTCTGGGTCTTTCTCATTTCGCCGAAGGACGTTTCGCCCAAGAACATTTCAACGAATGGGTCATTTTGCCGAATTTTAATCATGATTCAATTTACAATTAAGATGAATTTCGAACGCATTTAAATGATAGATATTCCCATGTAAAGCAGCTCGAAAGAAATGCTCATGTTTAAATGTTTAAAGCGTTCCTATAAATCAAAAAATATTGATTATTTAGAAATTTCTGAAATCAGTACAATTCGAAAGAAATGCTCATGTTCAAGAGAAGAAAGCATTTCGTTAAAGAATTTGTTTATTTGGAAAATAATGAAATCAGTACAACTCAAATGAACTGCTCATGTTCAAAAGAAGAAAGCATTCCTATAAATCAAAAATATTGATTATTGAAAAAATTCTGATATCAGTACAACTCGAAAGAACTGCTCATGTGCAAAAGAAGGAAGGATTCCTATAAATCAAAAATATCTATTATTTGTAATTTTCTGAAATAAGTATAACTCAAAAGAACTGTTCGTGTTCAAAAGAAGAAAGCATTACATCTTATTTCGAGACTGATTTCAAAATCTACTGAGCTTGCTCTTCGGCGAAATGACCTATTCGGCGGAATGATCCATTCAGTGAATGACCTTCGGAGAAACGTCTCGCGCTCCTCATTTCTATAGACAAATTCAAGATTCCATAATGATAATTTTGTAACTACTAAATCCGCTTTTTTACTGAAATTTATTCCAAAATGTTATGCCTTAGATTCTACACAAACTTTCACATTCTAGTGGAAAATTACACAAAATTAATAAAATTTATTCATACAAGCCAATGATCTCATTTACCCCCCTTTCCCACGTCGCCTAGTGTACCGTAGCTTGTATTTGACGTGAACCAATTTTAGTCGAAGCATTTCAAAGGAATTACAGTTTATTCGGTTCATTGTACTTCAAGAAATGACAGTTTGAAAAGGGGAAGCCAAATAAGAAACTATTTACAAGAATGGCTCAAACTTCATATCTCCTCTCCAGCCCAAACTATACCGATAAACTTTGAATAGTTCATTAACTAGCAGCTAAAATCTGAAATTTTGATCCTGCAATCCTGAATCCTGAAATCCTGAAAAATTACAGCACATTGAAATTTTTCTGCGAGTAAAAATAATCAAGATGATAGCTACCAAATATATTACATTCACAATAAAGTTCACTTTTCACTTTTCCATAGCGTACAAGAATGTAACACCATATTGCGTCAGAAAAGGTCGGCAGCAAGTGTTTGATTACTTCCCAGGATTGTGTGAATAGTAATTATTAAACAAGACTAAAAAAAATTAATCGGGAGAAAAAAGTTAGGCATTGTGACAAAATTTGTAGACACCCATGATAATAATTTTTAAAACAAGTTTGGTTTCACTCGTTTGATAAAGCTTTAAGGCATGCCTCGTAATGTTTTTAGAATACATTTGCTGCCTTTTTTGACGCAAGGGCGCTAGTGTTGTCTGCAAGTCGTGTCTCTGAGAAGACGAGTGTACCAATTTGTTTATAAAATACATTTGCTGGTACTGTACCTTGAAATTATGCAATTATTCCAATTCGCATAGATTTTTTTAAGAAAATTCTTTGAAAATTCATGTAGCGTAATGAACACGTTTAAAAAAGTGAAGAAAGTATCCTTTCGATAGTTATAAAAACATTTGAAAAATGTATTAAGCTTAAAAAAGTATGATTATGTAGAAAAAAGTGTTATGTTGGCAACATAATATTTGAGCGACTTTTATTTAAAAAGCTTAATATACCCAATGTGTTCTTTTGTAGTCTCGCCTCCAGCCATTATTGACAAAACTTATATTTTCAGACTATCTATCGAAACATATGATGAATATAATGCTAGATGTTTACAACTAGCGCAAATGACCAACAAGGGTCGGTAACGCATAAATTGAATGTACTAATTTGATGATTTAGAGAATCGATCAATGTTACCTAATGCAATGTTCAGCTTGAAATCATCTAACTAAGGCATGAAACTCACTTAAAAATTGTGCCAGTGACACATCGCCCACCGAGGTCAGCTGCGATAGGATCTGCAGAAATCCGCGATGAAAGTCTCCACTTTGCAAGGGACGTACCTTCATCCATGGTTCACCGGGATTGGCGGCTGAGATGGGTGGACTGAATTTCGCTGGCGAGTGCGAGAAATCCAAATCTGGCAGTAAAGAACGATCGTAAAGCGACAGTTCTTGCTGTAACGAAAGAAAAAGCGAATGTGGGTAAATGTTTTCTTTATTTGCTATGACCTTGAAAATGTTGGCAAAGCTAGCGCAACTAATGTTGTGTATAGGTTTATATACCAATCATATGCTTAATTTATTTGCCCAATAGGTGTGTACTGTGTGCACTTCCGCATGTGCCGGCTCGATTGTCTTGCCGAGCATTCTCTTTTTCGAAGTTGCTTTTGTTGTTACCGCAACACCGGGGCATTATCATATATACCAGTTTTGCCAATTGCTGAACATGCAACCAGTTTTCAATCATTGGATAGATGACCGGTTTCGCGAAGTTGGGATGTGAAATTGGAGCGTAAAAGTGTTCAGAAGGAATGATTCGTGCCACGTTTGCAATCACTAACATTTTATATAACTTAATTTATCATATGGTCAACTATTTTTATATTGAATAAACTTACTTCATGATGTGAGGCACCCATCTTTGTGAATACCTCAGCCACGAGTGAGGAGAAATAGATTAAATCAATCAATGCTACACACTGTGAAAACTAAACTCTCATAACTAACTGTATGCCCAATTTGTAGAGAATGAGTCGAATTACTGAATGTTCTGTTCGCGAACAACAGTCTATTCAATTATCACATGATAAATCAAAGAAACCGCTCTACTATCACTTCACAGAACCATTAAACAACGAACACTCTTTATGACATCCAATATATGCGAGTTTAATAAATTTTCCGTATCGATGAGAATATATCTTGTAGGTATTCCTCTACCGAAGCAAGCCGCCTTTCGTTTGTCAGGCTGGTACGCCAGGCAGTGAGTGACTACGACGTGCCAGCGTGGAGTACATACGACGCATGGTAGAAATGATAGAAATGAACCAAAAATATTTATGTTATTTTAAGTGAAAGGTTAAAAACACAACAACACACCGAATGAAGCGGATACTCACTTCGAGACTCACTTACTCGTGAACTACGGCACAGCTTTTGCAACACAAATGGCGCAGCCTACTTCAAGAACTCCATCTGACCAATGACTGTTATGATTTGAAAGTCTGTTGTTATTATATTGTTAATCATTTGTATTTGTTTATTACTAATATGCAAGCGAATTGAAATCGTTATCTCGAATCTCAACCGGTACGATGCACAGAGGAATAAGGTATGCACGTAATGAAAAAAAAAACAGAACAATTTTTAAAATTCAAAGATTTCAGTTATCGTTAGTTTACTAAAACCTATTTTACGTGAAGTAATTGGGTTTCAAGCAGAATGCTTAAATAAAACAGTAAAATAGGTTATCTTCCAGTTAATTCCACTTAATTTTTTTTTATCTATGACAGATATGCATTTCGACTGTAGTCGAAATACGTATCTGTCATAAATACCAAAATTTATTAAGTGGAATTAAATGGAAGATAACCTTTTTGCTGTTATTCAGTTTTCATCAGTGTCATTCCTTAACTTTTCTGCAGTCTGCTGCACATAACACGAAGACTTCTTCCTTAAGCGGAAATGCCTGTGTCATCAGCGAACAAAGATTTTTGGCGACCCTGAGGCAAATCAGGGAGGTCCGAAGTGAAAATGTTATACAATATAGGCCCAACAATGCTACCATGAGGAACTCTTGCTCTAACAGGTAGTCGATTAGATTTGGAATTTTGATAATTTACCTGCAGAGTTCTGCCAGTTAAATAATTTTGAACTAATTTCATAATATAGAGTGGAAAATTAAACTTTTTAAATTTAGTTATCAAACCTTCATGCCAAACACTGTCGAATGCTTTTTCTATGTCTAGAAGAGCAACTCCAGTTGAGCAGCCTTCAGATTTGTTTGAACGAATTAAATTGGTAGCTCTTAAGAGTGCCCATGGCAAAATCCAAACTGCTCATCTGTTAAAATTGAGGTGGTATAGATGTGAAATACGTTAGTATAGATGTGAAGTTTCATTCTATTTAAAATTATCTTTTCAAAAAGTTTACTTATTGAAGAAAGCAAACTTATTGGACGGTAGCTAGAAGCTTCAGCTGGATTTTTATCCGACTTCAAAATTGGAACAAATTTTGCATTTTTCCATTTATCAGGAAAGTATTCCAAATGGAAACATCTGTTAAATAATTTTACCAAGATAGACAAGGTACTCCTTGGGAGTTTTTTTTTTGTGAGGATATAGAAAATTGTATCATAACCTGGAGTTTTCATATTATGAAACTTTTTAGTTATAGATCTTTCTTCGTCCAAATCAGTCCCCCAGGAATCATCAAAAATATTTTTCCGAGAGAAATATTAAGATAATCTCTGGAAATGCTAACGGTGGCGTGAGAAACTGGCAAGGAAAGTAGGATCAAAGACACATGGAAGATTTACGCGCACACGGTGAGTAGATATAAAGGAGATTGATGAAGATTTTGAAGGTTTCTTGCTAAAAAAAATTAAAGGGTTGTGTCCTAGACACGACCGCAGTATGACGTAGAACTACGCAAAATTGATGTATGTCATGCATTTTTGATTATTATACTTTATCTTAAATTTTTCAAGCATTTCAATGCTACTTTGATTTATTCAAGCATGCAACTTTGATTAATTCAATAATAATCTGCCCCCCTTGAAAATTGTCAAGCTTTTGTCGGTGGGGTATGTTTTACGGAGTAAAACTAAGGAGCGTGTTTCTCCTTTGAGTGACGACTACTGACTAACGTTTATTTGTTCTTGGTGTGATACATAGCAAAGTGTGTGAGTGTGCGTGTATGGGTGTTGTGTGATTGATACATAGATGTTTGGATTATGCACTGGGTGAAAATGTACTGCTGGAATCGGCATCGGTGTTACACGGTTGTGCAAACCGACACTCCTCCTCAACGATGCTAGTTCGACGTCTCGGTTGGATCCTTGACGCCGATGGCAGTTCTGTGCCTCTCCAGCTTGACTCGCTGTAGGGGCTTCGTCATTAGGTCCGCCTCCATGCGCTCGGTTGGCATGTAGCGAAGCTCGATGATACCTTGTTGATGCAGGTCCTTGGTGAAGGCGTACTTCGTGTCGATGTGCTTGGAACGCCTCTCCAGACGTTCTGATTCCACGATCTTCATGCAAGACTGGTTGTCCTCCCAGACGACGATGGGATTTACTTGAGCCTGCTGCAAGTCCTTGAGAAGTTTCCGGAACCACATGAGCTGCTGACATCCGTCCGCCAGTGCGACGAATTCTGCCTCCGTTGAGGAAAAGGCAACACACGATTGCTTTCTTGTGCCCCAGTCGACAAGACCGCCGCCGAACTTCAGCAGGAAACCGGAATGAGACTTTCTGTCGCCTTCGTCGCCGGCCCAGTCGGCGTCCACGTAGCATTCCACTTCGTCGGATCCGGAACCCAAGTGCAGACGATGGTCGTTCGTAGCCTTGAGGTATCGGAGGACTCTCTTGGCTTCGGTCCAATCGCGGTTGGTGGGATTGGTGACCTTGCTTCCCAGCAGTGAAACGGCCACGCAGATGTCTGGCCGAGTGTTGACCGCGACGTAGAGCAAACTGCCCACCAAACTGCGATACGACGTGTTTGTGGGCAATTCGCACTCCTCCTTTTGCTTGAGGTATCCGGGGTCAATCGGCACCTTCGATGGCTTGGCTTGATCGTGACCGAATCGTCGAATCAGCTTGTCGATGTAGCTTGCTTGATCGAGAGTGTATGCCTCCCCATTCTTCTCCACATGAATCCCCAGGAAGTATTTGAGTTCGCCTAGGCAGGAAAGCTTGAATTGCTGCTGCAGCTGTCGGCGAATCTGCTCGAACTCCTCCTCCGAGTTGCAGACGACGACCATATCGTCGACGTATATGAGTATGTATGTCTGCTTCCCGTCGCGATTCCGGATGTACAGGCACGCGTCGGCGTCCGCCTGGTGGAAACCCATGGATTTGAAAACTCCGTCGATTTTCCTGTTCCATGCTCGAGCGGACTGCTTGAGCCCGTAAATGCTGCGCTTGAGGTGGCACACCATGCCGTCGTTACGATCGAAGCCGGGGGGTTGCTTCATGTACGCGTCCTCTTGGAGCTCCGCGTACAGGTAGGCATTCTTGATGTCGAGGTGCTTCACCAACATCTTCTGCTTGCTGGCGAGTACGAGGACCGTTCGTAGGGTAGTCTGACGTACGACGGGGGCAAAAACCTCGTCGTAGTCCTGGCCGAATTTCTGTGCGAAGCCTTGCCTTGCCTGTCCGAAGCTCCTCCTGCATCGCGGCTTGCCACGCGGCCGCTTCGGTGCTTTCGATCGCTGCGGAGTAGCTTTGGGGTTCTTCGCTTGCATGCTTCGTTACGCTGGTGACATCATCGAAACGCTGAGGCGGGATGCCTCTCGTCAAGCGTGCCGATCGCCGTGGTGCGTTCGCTTCCGTGCTGGCTTCTTCTCCGAGTAGGGGATCTTCATCGCTGAAACCGAGGAACTCTTCGTCGGATTCGATCTCATCTTCGACCGCCGAATTGTAATCTTCCTCCGCTTCCTGCTGATCTTCCGGTACGGCCGGACTTCGTTGTGGAAAGAGATCGAATTCCACGTTTTCACCGTTGGTGGTAGTCGATTCATCCGTTGGAATGGTGTCCGCACCGTTCTCGATGAACTTGACGTCCCGGCTCACGTAAACCTTTCGCGTTGCCTTGTCGAGAAAGCGATAAGCTTTATGCTCCGACGAATAGCCTACGAAAGTCAGCTTTTGTGCGGTGGCGTCCAGCTTCTTCCTCTTCACTTTCGGAATGTGAACCCACGCAGCGCAGCCGAATATTTTGAGGTGATCGACCTTGGGTTTCACGCCGTTCCAAACCTCGTAAGGCGTGACGTCGAGGGGTTTTGTTGGCAAAACGTTCTGGAGGTATACGGCCGTGTTTAGCGCCTCTGCCCAATACCGCTCTTCCAGCTGTGCATCGAACAGCATGCAGCGTACCATTTCGATGAGTGAACGGTTCTTCCGTTCCGCGATCCCATTTTGCTGCGGGCTGTAGCCGGCGGTGTATTGGGCTGTGATCCCTTCACGCTTGTAGAAGGAACGCAGCTGCTTTCCGCTGTACTCCCCGCCCTGATCAGAGCGGATGACTTTTGGCTTCCGGCCGAAATGAGTTTTGGCGAACGCAACATACTCCTCGATCCTTGCGGCGACCTCCGACTTCTCCTTCAGCAGGTAGAGCACACAATAGCGACTGTTGTCATCGATCATGGTCATAAAATAGCGATAACCGCTATTCGACGACACCTCCACAGGACCGCAAACGTCCGTGTGCACCAGGTCCATTTGTGCTTTTGATCTAGAATGAGACTCACTCGGAAAAGGGGTACGTGGTGTCTTACCTTTCAAGCAGCACTCGCACTTTTCGTCGACGCTGCACCGGTGGAGCGTCAGACCGTCCACTAGTTCGTCCTTCACCAAATGGTCGATCGCTTTCGGGTCCCGGTGGCCGAACCGGCGATGTCAAAAGTGCTGGCAATTCTTGTTGTGGCGGCCGCTTGCCACCATCACGGTATCCGACGGTTGCTTGATTTGGTACAGGCCTTCCTTCAAATGTGCCACAGCGACGACAGCATCCCCTCGCAGAATACGACAACCAGCTGCATCGGAAACAACCGTGGCTTGCTTCTGGATGAGTGCCGGCACGGACAGCAGGTTCATCGATAGGCTGGGAGTGTACAGCGCAAAGCTTAGGCTCACTTCACGACGAAAACCGTGTTCATCAACGCACTCGACGACGCAGGAACCTTCACCGGTGACATTCGCTTGCTTCCCGTCCGCCAAATTGACGAACTTAACCTCACTTTCACGCAGCTCTCGGAAAAACGTTCGATCAGCGACGGTGTGTCGC